CCCCCCCCCCTTCGCCCCCGTCGCCGGGAACGGGCGGGAAACCCCCCGCTTCGCCCCACACGGAAGGAGGGGGAGCGGAAAGCAAAGCGAAAGGGAGGGAGGGGTGGTGGTGGTTCATTTTGCAACCCTCCCGGCCCGAAAAAAAAATAACTCCTCATCTCGCCTAGTTCTGGGAAAGCGGAGGCAGGAGCAGATCCAGGGCTTTCCGCGGCGGTTACGTTAGCGGCTGCCTTTGCATAACTCCCAGGGATGGAAATCGGCCGCCCTGGGTAAACAGGGCAGCGGGGACGAGAGGGAGGAACTGGAGCCCCCCCCAAGCCCTGGCTCTGGCGTGGTGCACACATTTGGGGGTGGGGGAACAGGCAGTACCTGCTCTATGCCCCGCTTTGCCCCTCGGAGCGGGTAACGGGCTCCAGCACCTGGGTTTGCGGCCAAAACCCTCGCTCCAGGGCACAGGATTGGGCACTGTCACACGAGAGAGGAGAGCTCCCCCAGCCCCATCGTGGGTGTGGGGGCACCCACTTCAGAGGCACCCGGGTGGCAAGGGGCACCCAGCAAACTGCAGGCACTGCCCAGTATTTTTCCACCCCGGCAGCTCGCTGTCCCATCCCTGCTCCTGCTCAGCCCTCTGCACCTCCCAGCCCACACCCAAGAGGCCGGAGAGCAACGCCAGCACTAGCAGAAGGAGCTCCAGCCCCTGCACACATGCCTGCACACACGGACACAGGTACCAGGACAAGCACACAGCACCCACACGCCTGTCCAGGGGCGACAGGATCCTGGGCTGCCCCACACCAGCCTTGGGGGGGTGGCACCAAAATTGCTATTTCCCATGAAAAGAGGGACCCTCCTGGCCGTCACAGCCACCCTACTGAAGACACACCTGGGGGGAAAGTGGCCAGGGAGAGCTGGATCCTCAGCCAGGAGGTGGAAGTGCTGGCTAAGGCCTTGCCTTGATTTATGGCCCATCTCAAGAGCCGGGTCCCCACCCCTCCTCCAGGGACAACCCGGCTTATTCTTTACCACCACCCTGCAGCAGCCACAAGTGTGTGTTAATCCCCCGAGGCTGTCCAGCAAAAGGTGAAATGCAGGTGCTTTTCACCTTCTCCCATTGCCTGGGCAAGGCAAAGCCAACAAGTGTTACAACAGAAACTGCCTTCCCCCAGTGCCCCAGTTCCTGCACCCCATGTATAGAGCAAAGGTTTCAACACATTCAAACAAATGCTGCGTTTTACCGGTAGAAATTAGCTCAGGATCTCATATTCAGACCAAGTCCAGCTGTGGTCGCTTGAATCTAACCGCTCGGCTGAAGCAAAAGGAGGCAGGAGCTGGTGCCTAGACCCAGTCACTCCAGGAAAGACCCAAAATAGCTCCCATAAAGAGAAGCTGTCAAGCCACAGGCAATGTAAAGCCATGCCCAGCCCTTTTCCCTGGGTTTGCAGAGAGGATTTGTTTAATGGAGACACTGACAGTACCGATAAGCTCCAAATTCTTGGAAACGTGCTTGCTACTTGCAAATTTCCCAGAAACTTTGGCCACCAGAGCTGCCTGCAAACAAGCCCAGGGTGTTTACAGGTGGAAGTCCCTGCGGCGCCGGGTGACCCTCACGCCATCCAAGCCTCGGGGCTGGGCAGCCCCTCTTTTCACCGGCTGAGCTCCGAACAACCCCGAAGGGAAGAGAGGACCAAAGGCAGCTTGCAGGGTCAACGCCTCCTCTCCATCCGATAAATACACGCCGGGCAGCAAACCCCCACCTGCAAGAGACCCCCCCAGCGTGGGCAAGGGTTTCGCGGCTGGGGTGGGAGGATGTCTCTCCCAGCCCCGGGGGGGAGGTTTGGTGGCAGTCCCCCCTTGCCTTGCCCTCGCCCTGCACAACATGTTTACGAGCCAGCAGAGAAGAGCCGGGCGCTGCAGCCGCGGGGCCAGCGCCCTCTCCCGGGAGGCCGGCGGGGGATAGAAGCGTCCCCTCGCCAATCTCGCAGGGTTCAGGGCGGCTTGTTTACAGCCTTGCCTTCCCCTCCTCCCCTTGCAGGCTGCCGGGTTTGGTTTTTTTTTTTTTTTTGGGAAACACGACTCAGCCTGTGCCTTCGCCCAGCTGCGTGCTCCAGTGACCCTTATTGTCGCCAGCGTTCAACGAGACAAAAACCACATCGGGGAGCTGGGGAAGGCACGATGCCAACAGGTGACACCTCCCAGGAGTGGATTTAAATCAGCCTTCAAAGGGCCCCGCTCTAAATGCGCAGCGAGCCTGCCAGAGACAATGCGCCTCTCCGGGGGCGAGTCCCAACTGGCACATGTTTTTCTTTTTTCCTCCTATTAATTCGTGGGAACACCTTTATTCGCCTGCCCCGGCACTTCCCTCCGGCGCGGTTTATATCCTGCGAGCATTGCCAGGGTTGGAAAGTGCCTGGTGAGCTAGGAGGGTTGCTCAGGGCTGGACTTTGCAGCCTTCTGCCTCCAAGGCAGCAATGCAAACCTGGCAGGGACAGCACACAGCCAAGTCCCTGGTCTCCCCGGGAGAGGTCTGGGGACCAGGACAGTCGCATCTCTCACGGTTGGCATGAGTTGTGCCCGCTCTTATGTGTGCCCAGTTTGATACCACCACCCTGGCATCTCTTTTTCCAACCCCAGCCAGAAGCCAAGCAGCAAGGGGTCATGGCTTCCCTCTCCACTGTGCCTTGCTGGGGCTGCTGTGACCCATCCTGGTCCACGTCCCCCTATCCCTCTCCTGGTGTCCCCCCTCTCCCCTTCTTCATGTCCCCCCCCCAGCTGCCCTGGGCAGTTTGCTCTCGGCACAGGGACCTTGCACCCCCGCCTGGCTGCTGAGACCCCTTGAAAGTGCAGCCTCATGAATTTGGGAATGCCTTAAAATGCAGAAATGTCACACCACAGAGAGAAAAAATAGAGTGGAATTCAAGGGTTAAAAAGGCAGGATATGAAACTTCCCTGTGGCTCAGGCCCTGGGGCAGGTGGCTGTTGGCTTTGCTCCAGCAGTGCTGGGACTCTTCCCCAGCTCCCTGGGACCATTTCGAAGGGTGGCCCCCCACTGAAGACCCTGCAGCTGGAGAGCTGGCCACCCCTGGGGATCTCAGCCCCAACAGACTGCAGACCTGGTCTGCTAAGCCCAGGTACCCATTTGCCTTTTACCAGCACTAAAAAAAAAATAATCTTAAATAGAAATTAATGCTTTCTTTTTAAAAGAGATGTCACACAGGAAGGAGGAATGGTCCATTTGTTGTGACCGGTTAGATCCTAGGAGGAGGCCTGATGCACCCGAAATGTCCCAGCCTCTAGCAGTAACACAGCTGGGAGAGAGGAGGGACGAGCAGAGAATCATAGAATTGTAGAATAGTTTGGGTTGGAAGGGACCTTTAAAGGTTATCTAGTCCAACCGCCCCTGCAATGAGCAGGGATATCTTCAACACCTCTCCTGTCTCCGTGCCCAACAGCTAAAACATTCCCAAATTCATACATCATTTTCAGACCCATCTAGGAAAGAGCTCTGGGCTGTGAGGTCCCGCATAAGGAACTGAAACGCACCCGAGTGAGACCAGGCATGGGCTGGATGTCCGTCCTGATGGTGCATCACCTCCATCTCTGCCTACCGCTCCGCACAGCTACCTCTGCTCGGACCCACCACGGCGTGCCGACCGCTGCCGGGGCCTGGGCTCCGGGGGGACTCACGGGGCTGGAGGAACTGGAGATGCAGCCCCTTTTACCCATGATTAGCAAGGGCTGGAAAAATAAACCTAAGGCCTTAGTGAGTGCTTAATTAACAAGTTGCCCTGATAAGACTCAAACAGCAGTCACCAACTGAGGACAGGGAGCTCACCGCGGGACGGGGGAAACGTCTGCGCCGGGGGGGACTGACCTTGTACAAGCAGCGGTGGCTGACCGGTCTCCCCTGGAGCACTGCTGCGGGAGGCTGACGAAACCCCCCAAGGCAGGGAGGCGGTAGCTGCTCGCCCGATAAGTGAGCAAACATTGCACGCTCCGCAGCAGGCCCATGCTCCCTTTGAAGATGCTGCCAGGGTCAAGGGTAGCTGAGGGCTGGTGGTCAGAGGACTTTCGGAGGCAGAGCGGATTACCTGGGCTGCAGAGAAGGGCAATTCAGGAAAGCAAATTAATAAATAAAAAAGTGCAGAGGGACATGCAAAGAAAAAAAGCTCCCTCCCCTTGCAGCTCGACTGCAATACGTGCCCATGACGCATTTAGGGGAAGAGGGGCCTTGGACCGCAGCAGCCCAGAAAGCCTTGTGCAACCCCCTCCGGGTTGCTCGCACCTCCCTCTCCACCCCTTTTTCAGCCACCTTGGTGCCGGTTGCCGTGCCCGATGCCCACCTTGCCACCCCTCGCAAGAAACCGCGGCATCGCTTTGTGCCCCAGCAGCCCCCTTCCCCGGCACCCCCCGGGGAGGGCTCTTTGCAGAAGGGGCATCGCAGCTGCCAGCTCGGGGCACCGGTCTGGCAGCAACCCCAGCAAGCAGCACCTACCTCTCGCCAGCTCTGCCCTGCACACGTGCAGACCTTGCGCAGAGGCCGAGCGTCTTCAGCGGGCAGGGGCCGCCACCAAGAAGCACGTGCTCGCCTTCAAAAGCAACCAGGGGAAGCTGGAAAATGAGAACGTCAGGGGCAGGCGGGATTTGAGACCTAGAAATTGCTTGGCTCGGTTTGCTCTGTACAAGGGTGGAGAATATCCTAGGGAGTGCTCAGCACATGCCTTTCCCTGCAGTTGGAAATTGGTCACAGTGTGCATTGGCAGGGTTGTTTTTGTTGGGGGTTTTTTTTGGTCTTTTTTTATTAGCGCTGTTCATGCTGCTAAACACACTCCCAGCTAGGTCAGGGCTGTGTTAGCTGTGGCTGGCAGATTAATTTCAGCCTAATACACTTCACAGCTCCTTAAGTGAGAGTGCAGAAATCCTCAAAAGCGCTGCCCAAGTGGATTCAATGGTAGGATCCAGGCCCAAGACTGTAAATTATGAAGGGTAACTGCAAAGTGCTGTTGTCTGTGTCCCTCCCTTATGGCTGAATTAGGTCCTGTCCTGCCACAAGACATGCTTAACCTGGACTGGTGAAGTCAACAGATCCTGACACTCGTATAAGGTTACACAAGTGATTTTGCTTTAGCTGGAGAAGAGGCATGCAAACGCAGAATGTGCTGCAGGGCTGCCAGGTGTAACGGGTCAGAGCCTAGCCTTCACGGTCAGTCCCAAGCAAGGAAACTACGGACAGATGGCAATAGACTCAAAAATACTTCTAATTAATGTAAGGAAATACCAGAGATGTCCTTGCTGAGCAAAAAAATCTTACACACCCAGGAGACCAAGCATGAAAAATCACATATAAAAAAAATAATCCTAATACATTCAAGAAAGGAATTAGTATTTAAAGCAGAACTGCCATACCTGAGACCTCAGACAATTCCAGTTTTAAGGTGCTATGGGCCCAAAAGGATCACACCCATTGCTGACAGTCTTTGAGGTGTCCTAAACTATTTATATGAGAACAGGCTGGGGCTGTATGGGGGGGGGGGAAACAATCTTCCCCCAAAAGCTCACTCTGGGCATATAATACTCATGCTAGAGGGAGAGCAGGTTTGTGCATCAAGGTGCTTGCACCGCTCCCTCATGCTGGTGCTTCCCACCTTGCAGATGCTGTAGACCATCACCTGAGACCAAAAGCAATGCTGAGGTGTTCAGGGTCGCTGTGGCTCAGTAGGTACCGAGTGCAGCTGGGGGGAGGAAAACAACCCCCACCCTCCCCACAGCACCAAAAGGGGCCGGTTGGGCTGCACGGGGAGGCTGTGAGCAGCCCGCGATGACAGGCGGCGAGGCTGACCCCGCAGTCTGGCAGCCTTGGACTTCGCTGCCACGGCGAGCCGTGCCAGTTTACGTTGGGCAAGGATAAGAAACCCTGCCCCGTCCCCTCTGCCACCCCGGGAGCGCGAGGCTCTGCCGCTGGCAGAGGCGGCCTCGGGTCTGCTGAGGGTGAGCTGCTCCCTGTGTGGGGGGACAGAGGACGTGGGTAATTCGGGCTCGGACAGAGGGCGAGCAAAGCCCTTCTGACGTGTTTGGTGTTGCAACCCTGCCCTTATCTTTGTACAGAGTCCAGGCACTGCGCTCCTCTCCGAGCCCCCTTCTAAATCTGGGCTGTGCTCATGTATCCACCTATTTTTTTTAAGCCTCTTTTTTTTTTCTTTTTTTTCTTAACAGCCACACAGCTCACATGAGCTCCTTTTGCAAGGAGCCATTGCGGCAAGACGAAGAGGGCAGACATGCCCATGCACGCACCAAGCAAACCCTGGGAAGCTGCAGCCGGGCTGAGCGGAGCTCCGTTCTGCCAGACCTCTTGGGGTCTCCTTTTGGGGAGAGACGCCATGGAAATGGCCCTGTGCACTCCCACAGTAACCGTGTTGGCCTGTTCCTGCTCACAACCTTGGTCCTTTCTCAGCAGAAACCGGCACAGTCCCCCTGGGGTCAGTCCAGAGCCAGACGGGCACCAGCGGAGCTACATCAGCCTCTGAGGAACTCACTGGGCATCTGGTCAGTTGCCAACTGGAAAATATATTTTTTTGACAGTTGCAACCTTTCCCTGAGGACTTTTGAGTCTTTCATGTGTGAGACAGCCACCACGCCAGCTCATCCCTAACCCCTTGTCTCATCTCTTGGGCTTAGCGGTATAAATCCTTATGAATTTGTGATCGGAGCTACTCCTCCCCAGGGTCTCCCATAACTCCTTCCCGCAGCTCTCCCTGACACCACTAGGACAAGCGGATGTTCTGAGGCTCATGGCTGCTCCTTCCCCATGTCAGTTTGGGTTTTGGCATACTGACCAGCAGATGTGCCCGGGCTGTGACCGAAAAAAGGTGAGCGTGCATCCCCAAGGGGCTGTGCTCAGCCCCATGCCGGAGCCATCGCCGCAGTGGCCAACGCAGGGCAGGGACTGCCAAGCCATCCCGCAGCAGGGCACAAGCCAGTCCTTGCCCCCGCCACCCAAAAGCGAAGCATCACCCAAAGGACAACATCCCTTCGTTGTCACCACGAGGATGTGCGTCCCACGCGTCCTGCGAGGACGCGCGCACCACCCGCGGCCGTTAAACCCAACGGCTTCGACCATTCGAACTAAGGCAGCGTGGCCGGTGCCTCGCAGCGTGGCAGGACGTGACCTCCCCAGGGCACACACTTACGCACGGACGGTTTGGCCATGACCTCTAGGGTCTCTGTCGCGTCCCCCCTGGCCTGGTGTACCACCAGTTTTCCCGCTTGTGGGAAAAGAAACGCCCTCGCTCGCTCGGGGGGACGGAGCGAACCGGTGCCGGTAGCCCAGGACTATCACCCTGGGGGGTCGCCAGCACCAGCCCCGCAATTAATTAGGAGTCGTCCCCGTACTCCTTGGCGGCTGTGGAGTCCCCAGCCCACGGCTGAGGCGCTGAGCCCTGTTGCCGCTGGGGACAGCTTCACATTCCTGATTTGACAGCGCCACCTCGCGAGGTGACCCCGCTGCGGGGACCCCGGGGGGGTCCCCACCGCCCTGCCCCACCGCCACCTGCGCCAGGGACCCCCCTCCGCGCAGAGGTGGCTGCGCACCAGGGGACGTGTGTTTGAACCTGCCCACGCAGGTGACAGGAACGGGGACCGCGGCCACAGCCACGGAAGGGGACGCGACACGCAACGCAGCTGCGTGGCGGTAATGGCCGGAGCGAGAAAGCTCAGGGCTTCTTAGAAACGCAAGGTTGGCAGTCTATGCTGCAGCCCCCTCTTAGGCAAGCACGGAAGAGATGTCCAGCGCAGGAGAGGCCACAAAACCTCTGCTCCACACCCTCCACAGGCCACGAAACCCTTTCCACTCCCACCAACGAGCAGACCCACTTCTCTGCTACAGGGCACATCAGAGACCCTGGGCATGACGGTGCCCAAAACCTGGAGGGCGCTAGCAGTCCTGCCAGGTCTGACACCACGGCATTATGGTCAGGGGGATCAAATACCCACCTGGGGAGCAGATTCCCCCTCCTGCCAGGGAAACAGGTCACTGCTGCAAGAGAGAGAAGTGGCTCCTTCTTTCTTTCTCCTCTTCCCACTGGAGGGTCTCCAAGACTGGGTCTCAGCCCCAGACCTGATGAAGCAGGACAGCTGATAAGAAATCTGCGGTTGCTCTGTCTGGGGCAGATGTAGCAGGGTCTCCTGTGAAATTTCCGTCACCACCTGAGCAGATGTGCTGACAGCAACCGCACACGGTGCCGAGGTGCTACCAAGAACCTAGTTTGAAGGCAAAAAGTTTGCCCAAGTGGGGAGAGGGGAAGGGTTTCATTTCAGGACTGCCCAAGTGCGTTTGCAGGGCTGGTGATTAGAAAAGTGACATTTCCCTGAAGGACAGCAAAGAGGGAGGTGCTGAGAGCCCTGCAGTGCCCAAGAGCCCTGCAGCCCCCCCAGGGACTCGCCGGGACAAATGTGTCACAAGCAGCGTGGCACTCCAGAACACATCCCCGGGACACGGCAACATGACGGCCACTGGTGAGTTACTTTTGCTGGAGGCTTCAGCCCCTCCAAGCACACTCCAAAGGGGACAGTGGGTGAAAAGCAGCGTTAGGCTTCTGAAATGTGGGTCCTCCTAGTGACACAGCTCTGCCTTCACACAAGCAGACATTTCCAAGGGCATCCACCCATCAGTTAGCTGATGCCAGCCCACCCCCTTGCATCCAGATCTTTCAGACATGAATAAAACTTCACAGGATAGTGGGAGGTGTTGGCACTAGTAGCACACTGCCTTGATGTCCTGGGTGCATGTGGTGGAGGTCTGCAGCTACTGTCACTTTACCCAGAGCCACAACCTGCTCCCAGCCTGATGGTGCCTGCTCATTTGGGGGAATTTGCTACCAGAACCTGAGCAAGAGGACTCGGAGGGCATCAGGGCAGTGGGGCTGGAGCAGCAGCACCACAGCACGGCACACGATTCCTCTCCATGATAGCAGGGTTATGCCTGGTGTCTGGGTACAGTGGAGGAGCACAGCTTGTTCCCTCCAGCCACAGCTTCTCCTTTCTCTTGCCCTACAGATGCCACCACATTTGTACTTAGCCTCCATGAATCATGTACCTTTGCTATTTAGGAAGCTGCCATTCAAATTTCCAGCTCCTGTGTGCAGCTGAACCTGGTGCTTTCCAAACACCCTGTGCCGCCACCCACCCAAAGCACATGGGTGCACTGGGACCCAAATTTCATGGACTGTTCCAGGTCCCAATCCTCCCATGTGTGCATGGGACAAGCCCCTACTGCACATCCTCTAGAGCTCTCCCTCTCAAAACTCATCTTTTAGTTCACATTTTATATCACACTCAGCAACACAAAGCCCAGGTAACTTTCTCTTCTCCCCCCTGTAGCAACCATAGCCTCTACGGACATGGGGCTCCTGCTGAGAGATGATGTTTTTGTTGATTTTTTCAACACATTTCTGAATCTTCCGGTAAGTCCACTTTGCGCCATAAAGCCCAGGATGTTTCTGAGCTCTTCTCAGGTGAACTTTCAGCTTCTGTGTTGTTAGAGGCCCCCAGGAAAATTGGGAATACACCCCACTCAGGCTGGAAAATAAGGGAAACCTGAGGACCTCAGCGTGGAGACAGAGGTCTGAAAGGGAAGACAATGCCCTTCTCCGTAGTGAGGGCTAACTAGAACCACTGGGCTGTGGGCTCCCCTGCCACCCTCCATCTCTTTCAGCTATCCCCTTTCCTTTTTATACAGGTTTTTGGCCAGACACCCATTTACATCAGCAGCATGGGCCAGTGGGACCTCTGGCCAGAGCTGCCAAGCCACTTGGTGAGAAAATGCCTCTTGCGAGGAGGGAGGAGGATGAGGAGGAGGGAGGAAGGGCACAGGGCAGGGGAGGGAAGGAGCTGGTTTCTCATTGCTTGGGCCACTCTCTAGCTCTCCTGTTCTTGCAGCCGGGGGATTATGTCAAACCCAGGCGTCATATTGCTTTTAAGCCCTGGGAAAAGCATAAGCCATTTAAAGTCCTGGTGCAGCTTATGGGGTCCCTCCAGCCCTCAGTAAACATCGATAGCTGGAGTTAAGGAGAGCATGTGTGGTGGCAGAGAAGGAAGACACGAACGTCAGCCCCTGGTGCCCTGTATTCCTCCTGCATTCACCAGGAGTGAAGTCCTGTTGATCCTCCAACTGGCTCAGTCCTCCCCATGGACATCCCCCTTCCCCACAGCCACGAGCGCCGTTTGCGGTGCTCAGGTCCCATAGCAAAAGGGAACCTGCTCCTCTCGGCGCTGCCGGAAAGATGCCGTGCCTTCCTGTCTGGGCTCACAGAAAGCAGGCAGGCTGCGAGGGGAGGCAGCTTTGCAGGCAGCCACACAGCGCTGGGTCTCCCAGGTTTGCAGGCAGAGCTCGTGGGGATGCGGGCAGGGGCTATAGCTCAAGTATTCCCCTTCTTTCCCAGCACGGGGACGGCTTGCATCGCTGTCTAGCAACAGGGAGCCTTCCCCAGCCTCCTTCCCCCCGCAGCAGGGCCCGTTACTCACCCTAATCCCCAGGCAAGAGACGGCTCCTTGCTCACAGCCTAATCCTCTTCTTGGGCACGGGCGTTGCAATGCAGGAACCCAGCCCCACGGCGTTACTGGCTTGGCTGGAAAAGCACCGGCTGCCTCACTTCTGCAGATCCAGCCTGTGCCTCCACCTTGTCCTCTGCCAGAAGCTCCTGGGTTTCATTCGGTCGGGGGAAGCAGGTGAGTCATCGCGGCATGGAGGAAATCGGAGCGGCTTCGTCCTTGTCGCTGCAGCAGGGCTTCCTCTTGTCAGGGCTGTCACCGCCTGGTGCCTGCCCAGCGGGTCATGCCTCTGCTCCTGGTTAAAAAGGCATTGCACGTCCCATTTTTAGGCATGCCGCAGATCCCAGGGTTTCCACAGGATGAGCGGGGCTTTAGCCCACAGCTCCGTTAGTATGGGCTCGCTGCCTCTGTGGAGTTGAGCTGAAATAGCAGCTTAGCAGGGTTTACCGTGTGGTTCAGGGGTGGAGCGGGGCTGGAGAGCATCCTCGGGCATAGGAAACTGGGGTCCTGGAGTTTCAGGTTTGCTGCTGTGCAGGGTGCCCAGAGCTCTCACACTGTATTGTGATACGCTCCTCGTCTGATGCTGGGAAAACAGGCCTATGCCATGGTCTGCCTTACCAGCAGCAAGTCTGAATTGTGCTCAGTTTACCCCTAAAATGAGCCATGTCAGCCCAGCCAACTGCTTTGTCAGCCTGCATGTCAAGGCAAGGAAAGGCCACTGGAAAGAAAGCTATGGCAGCAGGTATGCAGATTTTAATTTCAGAAGAAATAAGCGATTCATGAAGGCTTGCTCCAGTGCCATTTTTGAATGCATTGCTGCTGCTTCTCCAGTTGGGTTGATCCTCAAACTGAAGGAGATTGAGGGCAAGCCCCAAACTCAAGCAAAAAAGATGGATGTTTGCAAGGGGAAGAGGCACGATAACTGGGCACGCTATCACCGACATGAGCTGATTGTCCTTGCAAACACCACACATGCATCCCACAACCTGTCTGAAAGTCCCATTTCAGTGCGATTTGCTGGTCTCCTGGCTCACAGCACTGCTGCCCTCCGGCAGCCTCTGTGGGCTGGTGGGGTCTGGAGGGCTTTCTTGGGGACTACTCCTGCATGCAACCCCTAATGCCGTGCTCTGCACTCTCTCTGACAGCAAAACTGCTGAACTGGCAAAGTGCTGACCAGTGGCTGTTGGAGAAGTGCATCAGCGGGAGCCGGGGCATGTGGAACTTTCAGGCCTTCATCCAAGGAACAGCAGGTGGGCATGGGGTGCTCTGCAGCCCTTTCTCAGGCAGCTGTGGGCAAGCTACCTGGCAGGACACCGGCACAGAGCTGAGGGCGTGGGTAAGCACTGGTGAGATGGGAGACACTGTGACCCCAGACAGAGCTTTGGAAGATGAGCCAGCAGCAGAGCCCCAGCATGGGTGCTGCATGCCAGGTCGATGCATAACCCTGGCTCTTCTCTACACTGTTCCCTCAGTTCATCCAGGTGATCTTTCCTTCTTTCTTTTTTTTTTAAAACACAGGCTACTTTGCTCATCAGTGGGGCTTTTGGGGACTCCCTCCAACTCCCGTCCCTTATCTGATCCATAGGGGAAGAACTGACCAACTTCTGGCTCACCACTGAAAGGCTCCTGGGGCTTGACGAGTCAGACGCGAGGCAGAGGGACCTCTATTTGTCCTTGCTCCACAGGCTGAAAGCCACTCACCTGCGTCAAGGCTCCAGCGTCATCACTCTTTGCAGGACCATCGTTGGTAAGAAACATGGGAGTTGGAGACGAGCAGTGGCCTTTCCAGGATGCTCCCAGGGAGATGGGATACCATCATCAGCTTTGTTTGGCTGGGCAACAGTCTGCACGGAGCCATCTCCCCATCGTAATCCCCTGCATCTTTTTCAGGGTTGCTGCCAAAAGCCAGGCACATTCAGCCCATCAGCACCAGAAGGGACATCCTAAGCAAGATGCAGGAACGGGCCCTCTTTATGATTCAGAGTTACTGGCTCCCTAAATTCTTCATCCACTGCAAGAAGGGCATGGAGGAAGAGAAATCATGCTGGCCTCTGCTGCAGGAATATCAGGAGCGTTTATTACAGGCCAACTCGCAGGAGCCCTCAGGCTTTTCGGAGAATCTCTTCACGATGCATATTAAAAGGAGCCAGGGTTTGTCAGGGCCCTACTGCAGCAAGAAGGCCAAAGCAGAGATCTGGACTCTGGTCAAGGAGGGAAGAGACACCCAAGAAATGAAGATGCCCAGTTTTCAGGTGCAACGAGAAAGGCAGCCGGGGCCAGCTGGGAGCACAAAGGAATCATGTCTGGATAAGGATGCTTTGGGATCGATTACTCAGCATTCAGAGCATCCTGCAAACACTGCTTTTCGAGGCAAAGGAGGAGCAGCCTCTCCCAAAAGACCTAGACCCAGTGCAAAGCAGGTCCTTCATCTGGAAGACCTCTGTGAAGAGAAAGTCCTCTCTAACTTGCATTCCTCTGCACCCCTTGTCCATCTGCCATCCCTGAAAAAGCCGGTCAAGACCCTGAGTTTCCTTCCCTGGGCCCTTAGTGCTGACACCTGTGCAGGTCGGCCCTTCAGGGACTTCTTGAAGTGCCAGGACCGGCCTGTGGAGACTCATCTCCTGGACCTGTGGCATGACCTGGAGGAATTTCTGCCCGTGGTGCTGGACCCCAGCAGAGAAAACTGTTTCTTTCTGTGTCATATGATCGGGAAGAAGATATGCAAGACCTACCTGGAGGAGGGCACCATCCAGCAGCTTCCCTTGGAGACCAGGACTCTCAGGAGCTTGCGGAACCATCTGATGTCTGGAGAATTCTCCCCCTGGATATTCAGAGCCCAGAAGGAGATTTGCAAGGTACAGAGCAGTGCTGGCAGTGGTCAGGCTGGGAGGCACAGCTGGCATTGGCACCCCTGGGCTGCAATGAGGGCTGTGGGCATGTTTAAGAATTGAGGTATTTGGAAAACGAAGTTGAAAAAAGACTAGGAAGGGAAAAACTGACAGTCGCAAGCCACCTTGCACTGGACCCAGTGACCAAGATGCGCCAGGCCAGTGGAGAGGAGCATCCTCACTGGTTTGCTAGGCAGCGGAGCAGAGGTGAGCAGTCATTTAGCAGCTGGTGACCTCTGTTGTTAGGTGCACATGCCAAGGGCCAGGGGATGCCAGGGCAGTAGCCATCCTTTTGCGTCCGAGTTGCTGGTTCCAGCACAACATGAGTAAAACACATTTACAACCCAAGCCCTTCTTGGGCAGCCACTGAGCAGCCCAATGGACCAACCTGGGTGTACAGCTCCTGGCAGAGCTGTCCTGGGCATCTCAGCAAGCTGTAACGCCCGCGGTGTCACGGCTGCGACCTCAGGGTACAGCAGGGCTGGGGGGTGCCAGTTGCTGCTGGAGCACCGCCTGACGACAACCCACCTTTGTTCCTCCTCAGGTGCTCTGCAGCTTCTATGAAGAATTTCTGGCTGACGATGACAAGACGTTCCTCCAGTCTACGGTAAAAGGGACGTATGGGGGACACGGGCATCCTCGTGGGGCACACAGGCAACAGTGGGGATGTGAAAAGTTGGAGAAAGGGAGGGAGGGGAAGCCTAGCATTAGCCGCAGCGGTCCAGCCTCTCACTCTGTCCCCCAGCCAACGCTGCCACAGGGTGATATGGCAGAGCCGGCCCTGCTCCAGCTGCCCAGAGCAACAATCCTCAGCTCCTCCACTGCAGCATCCTGTTAAGTCAGCAGCACTGCAGGCATGCCCTGCAAGAGCTCCCCTGAGAGGGGCCATGACCCGGCCCAAAAGCAGGGAAAAACTTAAATGCAGTCTTTCAGGGTAGGTGGGGGTGAGACCAGCAGCAGGCAGTGCACCAGCAGCAGGCACTGCCTCATGGGCAAAACACTTCTGGGAATTAACTCCCCCTTTTTTCCTTGCCCGCAGTGAATACTGCTATTAATGTGACTCATGTGCAGACACACATGCATATGTCCCTGTCCCAGCACGAGTGCCTGGCCAGCACACTGGGGGAAGAGGGCATGCAGCCTTTTAGCCTATGATTCAACCACACTCAAGTTTTCCACATATTTTTTCCACTGTGTAAAGGGATGATTTAAGAAAGCAGAGTCACACAAGCACTGATCTTCCCAGACTATTATCGCTCCTGGCAGCAGAAATCCCACTAATACCTCACATTTATTAACACCCTAATTGCTAGCCTTATACCTGGAAACCTCCTCGCAGACAGAAACCCCCGAGCATCCCACCTGCTTGGGTCCCTGCACAACCTATGCAGACAATTCTGCTCACTGCAGACGGTGTTCTTCAACAGTTAGGCTTTTCCCTAAACCGCAATGTAAAATCAGCGGCTGATCCTGGAAACGGTAAGGAGAGGCTGTCAGTGCTAGTGCCCCCAAAGACCTGGCTCACAGAGATGCCAGTGTCTCAGCCAGTGAGAGCTGAGCATTTTGGAAAAGTCGGCTGGCAGCTCCTGACCCGCTTTCATTAAATGCTCTTGGTTGTAAGTTAATTAGCTGCCCAGGTTTTTAAGCATCTCTTGTCAAGGAAATTAGCCCTCAGAGCACAGACCTGGTCTGGGAGTGCAATTAGCACTTCGGCAGGTGTCGAGGCCATGCTCTCCGTGGGCACCATCCCCTAAGCCAAACTCCTCCCGGGTCTCACTGCACTGATGTCAGGGGAACTGCTCCGGGACTTAACAGGGTTATTTTTGGTGCTTGCTCTCAGCAGCACGTATCTCGGTCAGAAACCAGCCACTCTGACCCTGCTGGTTGGTGAGTCGTGCAAATTTCTCACCCCTGGGGAAGGCTGTGGAAGGGTCTCTGGGGGGGGTGAGGGAGGCACTCCCAGGGCAGCAGCCAGAGCCAGCCCCAGGGATAGCAGCCAACCAAAAAGGCACATGAGGTTACCTGTCTGCCGGGGACACCTTCAGGGTTGTTTTCAGCCCTCCTGGGTGGATGTTGACCTCTTCAGGAAAGCTGCTGCCTTTGCTGGCAAGCCGCTGTCTGGACTACCCAGGGGACCTGCTGCATGTCCCTGGTATGTCCCAGCTGCAGGCAGATGTGAGCCAGCTTTAAGCAGCTGCACGGGTAGGTTTAAGGTCTATGCCAAGCTTCATGCTCACGTAGATTTCTTCCGGGTGGTTTAAAGCTAAAGCAGACATCTAACTTGGGTAGGTTTGTACTCTAAGGCACAGTAAAACATGCAGCTAGCCTATCGGGCATAGTGCCGGAGCAGCTCCTAAGCTGGGATACATGCTCTGTGCAATCACCCTCTGCTCTTCTTGCTGTAGTCTCTGCGGAGTGATGTCCTGATGCCGAAGATGCAAGGCCATGCTGTTGGGAAAGATGAATGTTTCCTCCTGTCCCAGCGGATAAACAAATCCTTGAAGCTGAGCCAGGCCTTGCATGGCACGAGGAACTTGGAAGGTCTCTCCTCCAAGCACTGGCGATTAATTGCGACTCGGGACCTCCGGAAAGGGGGCTCCATCCAGGCAGAGGTGGAACCTCTCCTGTGCAGGACCGGTAAGTGGAGGCTTTGAATTTCTGCCAGAGCTCATGTTGATAGAGCACACTTTGTGCATCTGTGGTGACCACTGCCCCTCGTCAAGGCTTTAGGGCATTGCTGTATTGTTGACAGCATGTGGACGTCATGGAGTGGGTTGGGACGGGGTATCTGGGAGCCATGAGCTGTAATCCAAGCTTTGGCAGTGACCTATGGGCCAAATTCCCTCCTGCCAGTACTAGAGGCACCAGATGCCCCATCCCTGCACTGGCCTGGGTCACCAGACTTTGCTGCAGCAAAGTGACTGAAACCCACAGCCAGCAACAGCCACTGTCACCCCCCTTCCACATCATGACCTTCTCCTGTGGACACCGGGACTGGCTCTGCTGGTGTAACATCTCAGATTTTTCTTCTCACATGATCTTTTGAGAATGACATCAAGTTTCTGGGCACCTGCCAGTGCACTGAGAGTGACAGCAGTCACCTGTAGCAACCCTTAGGTAACTTGTGGGGCCTTGGTCATACCCGAGAAATGCAGTGTCACAGGTAGATCATGGGAACAGGACAGAGAAGGGGAAAGGAAAGGTGGGTAGCAGTCACAGTACAGCACTCGGAGCAAGTGCTGAAGGACTGTCATAGCCAGGAAGAATGAACATCGGATCTGACCTGGCTTCTCTGTCTGACGCAGACTCCCAGAAGATGACGTCAAATGTGCTCGCTGTTCAGAAACCCTTGCTGGCTGTGGATAGCCCAAGCAAGGAAAATGAGCTTCTGTGTCTCAAAAGCCCATCACTTGGTGAGTCCAGTCTGAGCAGGCTAGAAGCAGGGTGGGTGGCCGGGCCCCCAACCTTCACGCCCTTGAAGGTGCTCCAGCATACCCCGAGGGGACTGGACAAGCAGGGATCTTCCTTGTTTGCATGCCATCATCCAGTAGAACATCTCCAGAAGGAGAGAGAGGCCTAGCCACCTTTGAAAGGCATAAGTTTTGGGGTGTTAATCCAGCCAGGGAAGGTGGGAGTGGGAGAGTTTGAAGAAGATGTCAAAGAGGTCAAATCACACGGAGTTCCTGCAGCACCCCAGTGTCTCCTGAGCTGGGCTCACCATGCAGACATCAGCATGGTGGCTCTGGGGACAGCTTGGGTTTCTTTGGGATCCTTTGCCTTGAGGACACCTGTGAGCAGGCTCTGGCTGTCACCTAAGGAAGGGGCCAACCGTGTTCTATCCCCACAGCTGTTGAATCCGAGAACAGAAAGAAGATGACTGTTCCTGTGAGAAAAACGAAATCAAGCACGACAAAGTCCACCACTCTTACAGTAGAGAAGCCATCTAGAAGACCCAGGTCTGGCACCCTGCAGCACAGGGCTTTGCTGGTTTTTGCTACTTCCACCCTTTCAGGAAGCAGATTTCTCCCAGTGCTTCCCTGTAGTGCCACTGCTCCCTGCTTCATTGTCGGGCCCTCTCAGATGTAGGCATGGGTGGCCTGTGGGTCTGAACTGTAGAGTTACCAGGGAAAGGAAAAAAATGCTTTAACATGCTCCCAACCCCATAGTTCAGATTTACTCCTCACATCTTGTGCATGTCTCATGCACTTCATCCTCAATCACCCCCTGGCGTGCCACCTGTACTGCAGCTGGGCAGCTCTCAGATTCCCAGAAAAATCACTTAAAGTCACCCCGTGACCACACTTAGATCTCTGTACTCGCTGACCATGTGAATGTCCATGTGGCTCATGTCTCACCTCCTGGGAATACTCCAGACATGGGTCCTCGCAGCTCCACATTGGGATATAAATGGTAACCAAGACACAAGTCCCGAGTAAGGGCAGCATTTATTGTTTATTGTGAAAGTCAGTCTCAGGAGCCACACTTAAACAAAGAAAATATTTGACCCAGTCCACTGGTCTTCAGATAAGGGCTTGCTAACCTCATGAATGACCCCAAATCCCAGCCCACTCCCAGCTCTGGTTTTCCAAAGCTCTGCTGATTTTTTCAATGTAGCTGTCCTCTGGCTTTACATCTCTCAATAACATCCTAATCTACCAGTTGCAAGTGGCAAGGTTTCTCCACTCCAGAACACCCTCTCCATGGCCAAACGCATGAAGTCCTCTGCCATCCAGTGGCAAATTATTGTTTAGTCTCAGCAAGTGCCAGAGGGGACAGCATTACCTCCTTCTCCCACCAGTCCTTCCAGGTGCCCCATACTTACCTGCCTCCCTCCCCTGGTCTCTGCAGGGCTGCCCAGTCCATTTGCAGATTCTGAGGTCTCCATCACAGACCTAAAGTCCTGCCTTCTCCTTGACTCCCTGGGTGAAGCCTCCTCTTCAGGCTGAGACCAGTTCCTTTGGATACATGGCAGCAAAGCTGTTGGGCAGGTACACCTATGGCAGAAAAGAAACAGCTTGTCAGGAGAATCCCCCCTGGATTCCCAATGGTTCAGTGGATGATGATCTTAAAGGTCTTTTCCAATCTAAATGATTCTATGGGCAAGAGAGACAAGGGAGGCTGTGCTCCACCAGTACCTTTACTGGCCCATCTGCTTCACAGATCCCATGCACCACTCATCCACACATTTCTAGCTCTTCTTCAGGTGTCTCTCCCTCTCATTGGAGAAGCAAAGACAGAGGTCCTGGCTATTTTCCAGGTCACTGGTGGCACAGAGATCATAACCCCTGGTGTTTCCTCCTCTACAGACACTTCATGAAAGTACTGCACAACCCTGCCCACCTGCAGTTCTTCAAGCAGTTCCTCAAGGAGCGCAACGCAGATGAACCACTGCGTTTCTGGATGGCTGTGGAGAGGCTAGTTGCAGAGACCAACCCCAAGACGAAGAGCTTCCTCATTAACAACATTATCAGAAATTATTTCCATGCCGAAATCCCAGCTGGTAGGACCTTCCCAACCTGCATTTTACCTTTACTCTATTCATGATGTAAGCCTATTTTCCCTGAGCTGGGTGCTGGCTGCAGATTTTGTATCCTCTTGCAGGGACCTGCCAATTCTCCTTTCCTATCCAGTGGAGCATTTATTTGCTGAGGTGTTCCACTGCCACTTATATTTCCAGGAAGGTGGTCTACTTCTTTGGCAGGATCTACGGACCAAGACCTGCAACATGCAATTCCTGCAGTGGCAGAAATAGCTTTTCCCTGTCTTGTCTTCTTTAGATGCTCTTGGAGTCACAGCTTCACTCCCAAAGTACACAATTAGCACAGTATAGAAAGGGAAAGGGATAAGACAGCCAAATTCAGCAAACAGAAGACAGGGCAGGCAGACATGGGACAGGGTGCCACGTGCAGATATGAGGGTAGGAAGAGATGTCATGGTGGTTCGGGGGTGGCTGGCAGGGGCACGCAGTGACTGCACTTCTCTTCCAGAGGAACAGCTGGATTGCCACACTTCTATCATCAAAGAAATAAATGAGGCTGAAACAGTCAGCCCCTTGATGTTGATGACAGCACAGATCTTTGTCCAGAAAGCAATGGAAAAACAATGGTGAGCACCTGGGTCAAGCTGGTTCCTTAAGCCCAGTGGTTATGCAAGCACATCGTTCCCAACATCCATCCCATCCCAAGGTGACAGGCAGCAACTGCTACAAACATATTTCCCTATGAACTACCAGCTGGTGCATCAAAATCCCAGGCAGACCCTCACCCCAGCAAAAGTGCTGTTGCAGCTGCTGATGCCTTTACCTGTGCAAGGCTGGCAGGTCCTGTGGGGACCAAATCACTGCTGGGCTTGCAGGGTGCTGGACTGGAGGAGGAAACATGCTGCAGATAAGCAGGACAGACACTCCCAAGCCTGCTACATGCAAGAACAGAGCCCAGGGGAGGGGATCCAGGCCCCTGTCCCATTCTCCAACCTCCTCCAGGAGCAGCAGTCTAGTGGGACCCCAAACCCCAGGGCTATCCCTGTCAGCTGCTCCCCCCACTTAGCTACCCTCCCACCAAACCACTCCTCATGAGTCTTGCTGCCCCTGATGCTCTCTCTCTCTCTGATCTCCCATCTGGCAGGTTTAAAGAGTACCAGGACCTGTTCCCCCCGAGCGATACGCATAAGTCTAACCTTTGTTTGCAGCATGGGATGAGGAACTTCATAACAGACAAGCTGGTAAGGAAAGACCCTCTCTGCTGGCAGGCTGAGGATATTGTCCAGGCAAGAAAGAGAGGAGATGGTGCAGGTGAAGCGGTGCTCATGTAAATGGGGTGAGAGGGTCAGACTTGGAGAGTTGCAAAAGGCAGCTGATAGGTAAAGCCTTACTCCTAACAGCTCTGGAGTCCTGCTGCATACGGGCTCCACCAGATTTGGTCAGGACTGGCCAAGTGATTCACACTGTCACCTATAGCCACTAGTGAAACCAAGAAATACTGGAAAGCAAAGATGATGGCTGGGTCACAAATCCCATTGCCAAGGCTGGGCTCTGGTTGTCCATCTCACAGTGGTAGGTCCAAACGGGAGGGCTTTGTCTGGGAGCAAGCCCTATCACTGCAGCCACTGGCTGAAGCGAGCTGTGCCATGTGTCCGCAGCGGTGGGCCTGGTATGCCATTCGCGACGTGGTCAAGAGCATCTGCAAGTTCCGGAGAGAGATGGGCAATGACAAATGCCGTGCGGAGTTTGAGGAATTTCTCCGTCGGGAACTAGGAAATGAGGAGGAAAGTATGGCTAGACTCCTGCCACCCTCTCTCCTCCCTCCCCAAGACAGTCCTGGGTTTAGGCAGAAAAGTAAATGGGGGAAACCTGTGGCTCATCTCCCATCCCCACACGATGACCTACTTTTCTCTCCTGGAGGCATATAAAGAGCCAGAAGAGCGGGTATCTCAGGATGCCAGATATTGCTGTGCAGAAATCTGTGCACTTAGGCACTGGAGTCAGGAGACGAGGTCCAGAATTTTGCACAGGCAACTTGTGCACATACACATTCATGCAACATCTGGTTTTCTGATGCAGGTGCCCCATGATGCTGTTGCATCCTCAAGCAATAATGTATATGCAAGTTTGCAACTCTTCCACGAAAAACAGGAGGCACTAAATGAAGATAAGGTGACACAGGCCAAAAAATAAAGGAAATTGTTTTCTATGAAACAGGGAGCTGGCCTACAGAGTGCTTTGCCAAAGGATGTCGATCCTGAAAGTTTACACACAGGTTCGAGTGGAGGCTGGAAAAGCAGTTAGAAAAGGAATCTACTGAAATTGCTAAATACACAGAAACCCTATCTAGATCAAGAAGTCTCTGGAAATGAAAATTATGAAAGCTGGAGAATATTGTATATGGGGGAAGTAACACAGATTTTTACCTTTCCTTGTCCCTAGTTATCTTCTTGTGGCCACTATCAGAGACAGGATAACAGCTAGACAGACCAGCAGACTTTTGATCTAATGCACTGTGGCCATCCCCTATGAAAACAATGAACATAAGCACTCCATGGGTGCAAAGAGGAGAATGGATGGAGGAGGTTACTAAGCTAGAGGGAAGGCTGCACACTGGATGGGTCTGAATTCCCTGGAGAGCCTGGCTGCAGGAAGGCTGTAGGCCACGTAGGTAGAATGACCCTCAGCAAATTACTTGCATGCCAGTAAAGCAAGCACAGGTGAGGTGAAGGAGCAGCGTATAGCTCAGCATCACATGCCCAGCTGGCCTCAAACCCAGTGCTGGGAGAAGCAGGACACAACAGCTCTTCCCCTCTTTCAGACTTGCCCACCAGCTCAATGCAGAGCAGCAGCACCGTGAGCACTTGCCGCTCCCACACGGCCTCTACCAGCACCCCACCAGACAAGGAGGTGGTACTAGTGAAACGCCGCCTGTTTAACAGCCAGCTCATTACTGTCAACTTCCTCGTCGATGACCTCCGGTTTTATCTGGAGATCGACAAGTAAGTTCCCTTTCCACCGGGTGCTCAGGTACCACCAGTCTCCCTTGGCTCTGGCCCAAACCCATCCAGCAGGTAGTGCCCATCTCTCAGCAGCAGATAAAGCCTGGTCCATGGATTCATTAGCACATCCTAAGGTCCGTGCTGCCACCCCTAAACTCCTATCAGGACCTCTGTGCAAGGCTGGTATCCGGACGTCATACGACACAACCAAAGTCTCACCCCATAGCTGTCTACATCTAATCTATTCATGGAGCCCCCAAAAGCCTCCATTTCAACGAGAAGTCCCCTGGCTCAGGGTTCCCATTTGGGTATCCTGGAAGTACTTTTGGTTTGATAGTCCCAAGCAATCTAACATTTTGCCTACACCTTTCTTGACGTGCCTGTTGTGGCATTTCTCCATTGACTTTGTCCAGTTCCCTGACAAACCTGTAAGGGCAAGCCCTGGCCAACGGGCAACAGCCCTGCAGTCAGCACACACCCCTCATGCACAAGACCAGGTTTTGATTCCCCTCTTTTCCTGAAGAAGGGCAAACATCACATCCCCCAGGTGAACATCGTGACCACAAGGGTGGTAGAAGAGGGAACTGGCTTTTCATCCCTCCTGTTTCACTGTCCCACACCTTGTGGATTGCTTTTTCTGGCCCAGTAAATACAAAGCTAAGCAAGAACAAAACTGTTTAGCCTAGCAGTCAAGAGCACTTGTCTCAGAGCAAGACCCCACATGCCTTTGCAGGTTTTCCAGGCTGGCTGATTCAGTTGAAGCTCTGGCAGCCCGCAACATGCAGTCAGAAAAGGAAGTTGCTTTTCTCAAACGGAAAGTCGCCATCATCAGCAAACTCTTCCTGAACTCTGATATTCCCCCCAAACTGCGGGTAAGATCCTGGGACCCACCCAGGAAGGCTGAAGGCTGCTGTCTGCTCGTTGCTCAAGACCATTGCATCGCAGCTGCAAGTGGTTGTGGGGAAAGGGGAACCAGGCAGAGGTCTGCATCTGCTCCAGCAAAACATGCTCTGAAGCTTCAGAGTGTGCTCTGGAGCTTGGGACCTCCACTTGGGCTCCATGGGATGGATCCACCACCAGATCCACGCTAGCACTTGACAGGGATAGTTTGAGGACAAGTGTGTGGACAAGGCGATGGTGAAATCCCCTACCTGCTGGAGGAGTGCCAGGGCTGCAGCACCAGGATGAGTGCTGCATGCCACCAATTCAGTCCTTTCACTCTCCAGAGGTCAACGTCACCACCGTCACCTCCCCACTGCACCCACCTCTTCCCCTTGCAATAGCCACGGCTCTGCCTGTCTTCCCTTTGGAAAGCACAGCACAGTGCTTTCCACAGAAATCCAGGGGGGATCCTGCCCTTGTATCTGGGACAGTCAGCCAGGATGTAACTAGTATTTCTTCTTAGAGACTGCTGAAATGCAAGGTGGGGTCAGGGAGAGAATCGTGCCTCTAGGGCCCATCAGGAGCACCACAAACTGCTTTGGTTAAGCAAGGTCTCTTCTGTGGCCAGGTAAACATCTCTGAAGAAGAGAGAGATTTAATCTGGAGTTTATCTTCCAAGGGGCTACTGAACCGTGTCCTCTACCACAGGGCCAAGGTCATCATCTTCCCCATCCTGATGCACTTCTGGAGAAGGTACCTATACCCTCTCTCCCAAAGTGGGTGAGGCTCTGTGGATGCCAGCGTTTTTCTCCAGGCACCTGTTCCTCTGACATGATGAAAATGCAGACAAGACATCCCCCAAGAGCTCAGCTGTAGATGTCTGCTTGGAGGTTTGCTGTCTTCAGTATTTCTCATACAGGTTCTGCACCTGGAAGGTGATGAGGAGCTTTCGGGTCTCTGCAAAGGACAGGGTGCCAATCTCTTTGCCCAGTACAAAAACCTCTTCCGAATCATCTGACATCTACAGTCCAAGTAAGCTGAGTGCCTGTCTCCCTGGTCCACATTTGTCCTCAGGCTTGTTCTTCCAATGCAGAGATGTCCAGACCTGGGGTTTTGGTGTCCCATGGGGTTCCCCTTAAAAGAGCCAAACTGCTTCCTTCACACAGCTTTGAGGATTTATGTGGCGCAGGCCTGTTGGAAAATGAAGCATCTCTGAAATCATTCCTTTCCATCAAATTCAGTCAAAATTGCCCAGTGGGTTTTTAGAAATTTCTTTGGGAAATAGGGAAGTGGGTGCAGAGACTTCATGAGCAAAGAGCAGTTGCATAACTCTTGTGTACTTCGATAAACAAGTTAAAAATACTTTTGCACACATCCTAAAACAGAAATAAAGCAACTAATCTTTTGGGTTGCAAGTCAGATGGGAGCAGGAAAAGGAGAAGAACCATGCAGCCAAACAGCAGGCTCAGTGACATTACATAGAGGATGCTTTGAGCATCTGGAATGGAGAATAAGCTTCATCAGGATTTGAGGAGACATTCAATGGGACACGTCTGGGGAAAGAGAAAGGTATTCTTCCTTCCTTATCCACTTGTTCAGTTTCAATACACTGAATAACTCTAAACTGAAAAACACAAAGAAAGTGGTGCTGAGTGCTGTCAGTCTGCCTGACAACCTGGCTTCTTGACTGAATATTCATTTGGAAGTTGTCTAATTGATTTTTGATTAAAGGGGAAACCAAAATAGGCACATACTAATCTTGCTTTGATGGTCGAGTGGGTGCCAGCAAGCTGGTGTTCTGCTCCCTGTCATTTATCACTGTCAAGTTCTGGTTAAAAATCAGCAGTTATAGGATTTTGATACCTACAGGCAGGTGCTTGAGCTACCGCTCTGCAGCCAAGCCGGGGTAACAGACCCCTGTGCTGGTGTGCTCCAAGACTGCCAAGCCATGTCTATTAGCTCAAACTACCCCACACCTTGGGTATTCCCCTGGATAACATGCAATGTTCAGCTTGAGTCTCCACCTTGTTACAGAGCCTCACTGCACTTCTATGATCTTCTCAAACGTAGCTGTTTTAATGCAAAAGCCTATTGGCACCAGGAAAACCAGACAAAACCCAACCCATCGCACATGTATTCCCAGCTAGTGCCAAGCCAGAAGCGTTGTGTTACACAGGAGCTACCTGCTGTGTTATCTGGGACAAAGACACATGTTTGCCAAGGTCTTCAGGAAACCGGTGGGGAGAGACAGACATTTAATCAGTGCAAACTGTTGCAAGGGTTAGGACAATCTCACCGCTGCCCAAGCAGCGCAGCCCGTATTTAACTACACAGAGCCTCGGAGAGTGAAAGCACTGAGAAACTGCTCTGGAGAGACAGCTGGGGACATGTAGAAAAGACTGTGCTCTTTCTCACATGGACATTAATCCTGCAGTGATTGTCCCTGGGACAATTGTCCCCAAGCCACAGCTCCTTGTAGCACCTCACAGGGACGAATAACCAGAGCTGGGCAGATAAAATCCCTCAGCTTGGGTGTCTTGGGAAGAGATGTGTGATCTTTCAGACCTGTCTCATTTCTCCTGTCCTAGCCTGCATGGCTGGCACATTCAGCCTGGTTGAGTAGGAAGGGCAGATGCCATCATGCCTTGGTAGGGCAGACTTGTACCCGCAGGGTGCAGCACAGGCTGGCTCCTGCTCTGCGTCACCTGCCAACCCGCAGGCACCCGACTGCAGCACCCTGACCGTCAGAGAGGAGCAAACCAAATCAGTGTGCAACCCAAAAATAGCTGCTGTTTCTTGACTGCGCTAATGCCAGTGCCACCTTTTGCTCGGGACACTTTCTGCACCTTATCACACTTTCACCAATGACCTTTATCTAAGGATCTCGATCTTCTGAACTTTAGATAAAGAGCTTGCTTTTCAGCTGGGAAAAATTGGTTATGCTGTCTTTCAAAGGCACTAAAATTGCTAGGGAAAAATACTTGTAATTCCAGAGAAAACCTCCTATCGCCCACACCTTGCTTTTCTCTTATTTTGAGGGTTGCTGCTTCACACAGACGCGGTACACGCACGGCTGGGAAGGTGCCAGATATGAATCCATCTCCCATCACCAGGCGTCACTGTGGCACTGTCTGTGCCTTTACACGAAGCAGAGGGGCCGGTCCTGCTGAGACTGGACATACTGCCTGCACCCCACTTCATGGGCATGAACACGGGGCTCCTCTTGGGAGAAGCCACCCATGCGGGCACAAAGCTGAGAGCACATCTGTGTGTGGGGGCAGCTGTGCACACGCCTGTCCCCATCTCTCCAAATCCCATTTCCTCGCAAACCTCCCTTCTGCCACCTAGGACACCATAACCCTGCAGCAAAGCCAGGGTGGGAGATGTCACCCCTGCCCCGCAGCCCCCAAACAGCTTTGCAGTCAAGGAGACCTGGGTAACTCATGTCCTTGCTCAACCACCTTTCCTTGACCTCTGTACAAGCCCCATGGGATTCAAATGGAACAACGCATCCTGCTGTCCTCCCTCATTTGCCATCAGAGTGCTTGCCTCACAGTACTGCTTCATCTCTTCTCCCTCACCAGGCAATCACACCGTCATTGTCTTCACGCTCCTGAAAGGGGTCCAGATCCTGCTGCCCCAGCCCCAGAAGAAAATGGAGCCACTGGAGGAGCAAAAAGGTGAGCCAATGCTGAAAGGAGCATTACTGCTCTCAAGGAGAGCTCCAGCTGCGAGGATGGGAGCTGGGCTAAATTTAGGGCTCCCTGCATCAGTCCATGATGGGAAGTTTGTGCATGTTGTTTTTCTCAGATTCAAATCAAAGTCTTGAGAAAAGGCTCTCATTCAGCAAGTCTGCCTCTGGTCCTGCAGAGCAGGTAGGTGGTCACAAAGGCAGTCTTAAAGCCCAAAGGCCAACTGGGTGGGTCTGTGCAGCATGCTGGTCACCCCCACCATCTGCAGTAACACACATAGAAAATCCCCAGTTGCTGCACATCTCCATGCCCTGAACATCCCCTGGGGAGCACACAGCTGTGTTGTTCATCCCTGACCACTCGCACCCTGCCTCCATCAGCAGTGGCCACTGATGCAACATCTCTCCCCTCCCTGCAGGCACTGAGGAAAGGACAGACCTCTGAGGAGGAACAGACCTCCCAACACACTGTCCACACCAAGCAGGACAGGGGTGTACCCCAAGGAAGCTGAGCAGCCCAGACACGCTGCGTAGTTTGCACTTAATCAGCAGTAAGACCTAAAAATAAAGCAACTCACAGCATCCTCCAGCCTGCATGGTAACATAGCACAGCAGCTTGCACCTCTGCAACTACAGCAGGGACGTGCCACAACGCGTGTTTCCACCTAAGGAGATATCCTTGTCCACACGCCAGTCTCCTTCCTCATACATATCTGTAAAAGACTGCATTGCCCATAACTGGGACCCACTAACAGTGTAAATATCACACTGGTTGCACAGCACGACACCACCTTTGAGGTCTTTCCCAAGAAATTTGGAAGGTGCTTAAAGCCACAAAGCAGTCAACAGTAAATATTTTGCCCGAGGAAGGGGCTCCTCAAAGACCACCCAACCCTAGGAGCTGCTCCAGCCCTGCTGTGCAGCGAGCCATGCTTCTCACCAGAGACTGGGATTGCTTTCCCCTGCTCAGCATGGCTTACAGCCTTCTCTCAGCTTCTCACCCCTCCACAATTTCCACACAAATTAAATACCTCCTGTGGGTGGCAAGGCTAAGAGAGCCCACCTGGTTTACTACTCAGCTGTCCCTGGGTGGTGAGACGGTGCCTGTCTTGCCAAAGCCTTTCTGATTCTCCGATCAAAATCAGCTCGTGCCTGACTTGGGGCCTGGGTGTGTTTTTTTTAAAAGCCAGTGTGTTTACAAAGCACTAACCAAATCATATCAAAGACCTTCATTTTCCCCAGATGAAACTGAGTTGGAGTGGCTTTGCCCAGTCACCAGAAAGCTGCAGAAATTCCAAATGTTCATTTGACCTCACGAAGAAATAACCATGACCTTGATGGCACCTTGCCTCTGACAGCTCCCTCGCAAGCTCTCAGCTTTGTAATTTTGAGCTATTTTTAGCTACTTCTTAACCCTCAGATCCTAGAAGACTGCATCCAGGGAATAACACAGGTGCAGTTAAGGCAGATGATGACATGTTTCATATTTGTCAGTTATGATTATCAACACTTTGCTTCTGGAGGATCAAAAAACCAAACAAACCCAAAGTCCAAGAATATTTCTATAAATGAAGGACTTAGGAAGCTGATGCCACTCCTACAACCCGAACTGTGACCAGCTCCTCAAAATTTCCCTTGTGCTGTAACTTGATTTTGCCCCAAAAGCTTTCAGCCCCCAAACCTACCTGCATTTCTGTGTGCTTTTCACTAACACCTCAGGCTCTGCAGCCTGATCCCAGCTGACCCTGGTCCCTAAAAGGCTTCACAAATGTGCCTGAAGCTCAACACAGCAAAACCGCAGCTAAGAGTGCCACTGTTTCTGCGGACTTCTTTTTTTTTTTTTTTTTCCCCAGTGCAGCAAATGAGACACATTGAGCTGGGGCCATCCCTGTGCACACAACAGTGTCCTCAGTACGCAGGTGACAGGATGGGGAGCACCTGATCCCATCACATTGGGTTGAGCCAGCTGCCCCTGGGGTCACCCAGCAGGAACAGAGGAAAAAGGCAGAGGCACAGAAAACACACAGCGTACAGGCATGACGGCAGGGGAGTGAAGCGTGTAGGACCAAATCAGCATGCCCTTGGGCAGTATGCATGGTCTGCAAGCCTGCCTGTACAAGGCAAAGGCAAGCAGCACCTCCCAGATGGGCACGGATGCTGGGAGCCATCAGCACATCAAGCAGCACTAACTCTGGCAGCTGGCTCTGCCCGTGGCCCCCCGGGACATCTTTTCCCCCAGGCTGCGACACCAGGCGCTGCCATACCAGCCAGCTGCAATACTGTCCAGCTGTCCTTGCCACTGGTTCTCCATCCTGCCTGGCCTCTCGCTTAACGCTCGCCCATCCTCCCCAGCCCTGCGAGGGGGAGAGGCAGCTCGGTGTTTTCCCCGGCATTGGTCCCAGCCCTGCATCCCCCCTCTCTTCCCATGGCCTGACGTTCTGTGAGTGATAAGCTTTGCAGATGCCGTGCATGGCTCAAGTTTCTCCTCTGACACCCGCCTGCCGGCACCTCTGGCTTCTCGGAAAGCAGGACATGGCCCTGCAGACCACACGAGCCTTCCCTGGAAATTCTTCCCAGGGGCCTGATTGACCCAGAGAGACAAGTCCAGCCTCCATGGGTTTAATCATTGCTCTGCTCTGGATATCCTTGAGTGCTCTCTGCTTTCAGGAAGGCCTTTCCACAGCCTTTTAAGGCTGCCAAGTCACAGCCCTTTAGCAAAACAGCAGAGTGATGCAAGAAGACACAAAGGTCAAAGCAAGCCAGAAATGTGGCATTTTACAAGAGGCTGAAGAAGCCCAGCCCATGGCCTCACCTGTCCTTGTGCAAAAGCAGAAACGTGCTGCTGCAGCATGGGGCCACCATGCTCCCCATAGCACCCCTGCTCCCCACGCTGCTGAGACCTGGACATGCATCTCTGGGTGTCCTCCTGCTTTCTGGGCATGAGAAAGACACGGTGAGCAAGCAAAAAACCAGCAGGGAGGAAAGGAAAAAATAAAAATATTGACAGAAGAGGAGTCAACATTCTTCTGGTTGCATTTTCTCTAATGGCACCTCATGAACAGTTCCATAGTCAAGCTTTCTTGTTGTTACATTTATGTATTTTAAAAGGTTCCCAAGACCATCAAAAGGGCCTTTGCTCTGAGCCAGGACCACTGATGCAGGCTGGCACACGGACCTCATGAGCCATGAGCACATGCATGGCAGTCTGCAACCCAACTCACGCACAGCAATGCCTGTTAGTTTGCAGGTACATACATCGATAAGCACACACAGCTAAACAGATGCACGGGGCTCAATGATGCATTCTGGCAGCCACCCATTGTAGAGGAGATGGGTCAAACACATCCACTCCCAGAGTTTTACATGTACACAAACACGCACATGCAAGCATTGATGTTCATCTTCACACCTCAACTCATTCACGAAATTCTCACCCTGACTCCACAAAAACAATGTAAACCCCCCCCACCATTCAGCCCATTATTTCACAAGAGACAGCTTGCTTCCGAGGACAGGAAGCCTTCAGTACTTCCTAACATCTTTTCCCATCAAATACTCATATGGGCCAGAAGCAATTCATCTGAGCAGTGACAAAACCATCCACCACCTTACCTAAACAACCAAGAGGCACCTCCACAGGGAGGCCAAAAATCCCAGTCTGTTTTACAGTGCTCCAGACTATCTCTTTCTGTGCAGAGGGGATGGGGGAAACTCAGTCATAAATGAGTGTACAGTCAGTTTTCCGGGCAAGTTTATTCCAATTTTCGTTCTCCATAGGCTAATTGAAAGAATAGCAATTAAGTTAAAAATCCTTTCAACAGCTGACAAATATTTCCATAAGCAACATAAAACCATTGTGCAAAACAGAGTGTCAGCCGAGAAGCAAGCCAGCCCTTGGACAATCAGACAGACACTGCATGCTGTAGGATTTCAGAAATGGGTTTGTACCACCCAGCCTCCAGTATCGAAGCTCTGACCTGGCTGCATGCTGCACTCTATGGGCACCAGCTCTGTGCAAGGGAGCCCAGTCTGGCAGGAGGACAGCTATACACCACCAGCAGCACTGGTTTGGAGGCAGGGAGTGCTTGTGCGTAGCCCTGCCTTGCAGACGCAGCCTGCCACGGCAGAGCTTGTCCTTTCCAGGAGGAACCGGTCCCTGCAGTCCCTTTGACATCAGTGACCTTTTTCAGGTGAGCCTGGACCACTCACAGTAGCAGAGTTTTGTGGGATTGTTCTCTTTATGTCCGTTCCTTGTGGAAACATCTCCTGCGTCCCCCAGAAGAAGTCCTTGAGGTCCCAGCAGGCTGGCCTGAGTGTGCCTCTACAAGATCAGAGGGATAACGGGCCAAGGGCAACTCTGCAGCCAGACCATTGCCCAGGCATCTCATTTTCTGGCTGCTGTGTTTCAAAAAGACTGAAAAGAGAGAATCCATATCTTTCTAGGGGTAGATGAGCCGCTCATCAGTGCAAGTTGTAGGGAATATTGGCCCTAGCAAGGAGCTCAAACTCCTTTTCCTTTATCAGAGAGTCCCGTGTTGTCTGGTAATGCCTGAGCTCTTCTCCTGCCTCCCAGATGCGTTGGGTATATGGGGATTGTCCCACATCTCCCTGCTCTCCATAAGGATCAGGGCCTTGATCTCCACCAAACAGAGGCAGATAAGCCCAGAGGGACAGAGGTAGTCAAGGGGGACCAGGCTGGCACTCAGCTTGGTTCCTCTCCAAAGCCTGTGGTTGTTACACCAAACACTTCTGAAGCATCTTTCATTTCTTAGTCTAAGTCCTCCATGCTCTGTCCCTGCATGTGCTTTCTCCCATCTCCTTACCCACTTTCTTCAGCTCTCTTGCAGGTGAAGAAATAGGGCATAAAAGGAGGCAGTGATGGTGGGATCAGACATGAGACAGGAGGCGATGACATCCTACAGAGAAGGGTCCTGAATGTCTGCAAAGTGACTGTACTTGGGATTCTGGCGTAAACTGTTGTAGACATAGATGGTAAGTGCTGGAAAAAGCTTCAAGAAATACTCAGCATAGTCTCCTATTCTGTTGGTGATCCTGAAAGAGAACAAAAACAAAATGGATTTTTAAAGCTTGCCCAAGGAGTCAAGTGGTTCAAGTGGTTCCTCCCTTGCAGAGAAAAAGCCATTCCAGAGGCTTTTCTGATAACACAGGAAGGTTTCCTAGAAATCCTTGAGCTGCAGCTTTTCTATACCTTCCCTAAGCCCCTCAATCCATTTTTTCGCTATTCCTCCAGCACCTCCCTCTGCCTAATCCCACCTGCATCTTCACTGAAGAGCAGTGCTGGCCACCAGCACCAATGAAACCACCACTGGGAGCTAACATCACCTCTAACCTCACATGTAAGTGCCCATGACCATAAAGTGTTGGAGACTGTGGCAGCTCTTTAGGAGTCAAGACCTCCTAACAGGACCAGTGCTTCCAGATCCC